CACTTAATAAGGGAACATCATTGCTCTCTCACTAATTGAATCTGCTTTCAGAGTCCACTTGAAAGGTCTGCATTTGCTGCATGCACCGCCAGAAAACAGGCTCCGTTCATCCCTCCACCACCGAGAACCAAAGCAGAGGTGCCACTTCCAGCCAGACGCCAGCAGCAAGTGCCAGGGCACAGCATGCTTCTCATCCCCTCTCCCCAGGGCAAATATGTTTGGGTATATCTAGACAAGCAAACCTGGGGAAAAAACAAAGTAGCCTTTGAAGGAAAAAAGTAGTGCAGGAGGACTCTGGCTCAGGTGGGGAGCTGTGACTCCTTGCTGGATTTTAGCTGGAGGGAGGCCTTGCGTTCCTGTGGAAGGAAAAGCTCATTTATTGGTTTTCTTATCTACAGCTGATAGAGTTTGGCTTTGAGGAGTCACTTTAAAAGCAAGAAGAAAAAGTCTGTTGTGAGATCTCATCAAAAAGTGAGATGCTGCCACTCAAAGTGCTTCATTTCAGTGAGATGTCACAAGGATGGCTAAACTTTCTTAGACATTACCAACTGTGTCAAGTAGCAGGCATCTGGGCAGAAGATGAGTCTCTAGCCTCTTCCACCACATTATCAGACATTTGCTGCAGAGACACAGCAAATGTCCCCATTTCACATGAAGGAGCATTCCTCACGCTGGAAGCTTCAGAGCTGCAGTATGAAACATCCCAAAGTTGCTCATCAGACAGGAGTTTTGCCAAAAAGATCACACATGGCTGCTGTGAGGGCAACTCTTCCTGGGGCTGGTGGCTGCAGGTTTTTGGCAAGAAACAGTTATATCCTTTCTCAGTGGCTTGCTGAGTGCTGGGAGGACCCTTCGTCTGGGCTGGACCATGGCTCCTGTAGCATACTGTAATTAACACTATCCATCATGAGCAGTGACAGGGCTCGTGGGGAAGTGTGATTAGGTTGTACCAGCTATTGCATTACTTCGAAGTGGGGGGTGTCCCTTTTGAAAAATAGCCCCATCTTTAGATCTGGGGCATTAATTGAACACTAAGTTCCATGGATAATCCTTTCAGAGCTGGTTGATCTCTCCAGAGCTTTCACACATTTGCCAGAAGAGAAATGGAGACATATTTTGCTTAGAGAAGAGCTCTCAGAGACCTCCCCACATCACCTGCACCAGCACCATTATCCCACAAGCAGATTCAGAGCCCACCTCAATATGATGGGGGGGGGTGGTGGTGTCTTAGAAGTGTATCAGCCTGTACATGCAGAGGGGTCCAGCAAAGCTCTGCTCTGAGACAGCTGGGTGTGCAGCACTCAAAGCTGAACAGAAAAGAGATGAATCAGGTAGATTGCCATACTTGTGAGAGGTGCCTGGGTGACTCCCGTACCTGATCCTCAGCCATTCCCAAGCCATCACTCAGTGCAGACTCAGGATGGGCAACCCCGCAAGCTCTGCATGGCCGTGGGGTTGAGCAGGGTCACTCTGCACAGGCACGGGGTCAGCAGACATTGGGGAGCTCTTTGGCAGATCATCTCTCTTGGGTTAAGAGATCTGTTTTACTTCTCTTTTAAAACAAATAACACTAACAGTCCTGTCAAGACCAGCACCAGGAGGAAGCAACAGGAGATAAGATCACCCTCCACAGCATGATGGGGAAAAGGACTCCACATACATGGCACCTTTCAGATGCTTTAAAGTCTCCTTTGCGCATGCAAAGCTTGCATTCCCATCCCAGTCTAATCCTGCTGCTTTAAGGTTACACCAAAGCTATAGGAGGTTTTGCAAAACATCTTGAACTTTTCTTTGAAGCTCATTTGGTCTCATGGTCCTCCAGGGCTTTCCCGTTCCTCCTCTAAGAAGATTCATGAGCTCTGCCATGGAGTGAAGGGCACAGCTGTCCTCACTGGATTATACCCACAGGGAGGGCAGACTACAATTAATAACACTCATCAGCAAGGAACAAAACAGGGACTAGGAAAAGAATCAATTAGGCTGCATCTTAGCTGGATGGCATTTAGGGGAGGACATGGACAGCTGTGAAATATGGGCAAGCAGTTGCTGGCAGCAGCTGATTGCTGTTAACCCCTTCTGCAGCGAGCTGCAATGGTGGAGGAGACATGGGCACTGCCTGCAGAAGCCCCCAGTCCCAAGTTTGGGAAGGTCAGTTTTGGAGCTGATGCATCCCCATTCCTCTCGAATAGCTCAGGAGGAGCCCACTAATTCACTTAGGGACATGCGATGCAAAACCCAGTCTGCAGCAGGAATTGAAGGTGGAATCAGCAAGAACAAGGAGTCACTTGGGAATAGGTGGGCATCAGTCTGCAGCAAGACAGCCTGAAGGGCCAGTACAGCTCTGGGCAGCCTTTTACTGCAGAAATGCTGACCCAGGGTGGTCTTTCTGCACAGAGCATCAAGTTCCCACTTACCAACGTGATCCAGCAGGAGGTGTTTAGCATGCAACACTGCTGTGCAGGCTCAAACTTCCACACAGCTCTGGTCTCAGCTTCTGTTGTGTTTACCAGAGACCAGTCCTTGCCCAGAGCTATATGCAGCCCAGAGCGATGCATTAAATGAACTGTTTTACTTGCAGCAGGTGACTGCCTCCAGCAGAGGAATTAGAGCTGCTCAGCAGAGCAGCCCTGCTGCTATGCTGCTAAAGAGAATCACTGTGGGAATTCACTGAGGACTTAATGTTCAGTATTACTAGGCATGATTAAATTAGATTAACATATGCTTTGAGGAGGAAGTGAAGATCTTTAGAGTTTCTAAAGGAGGAGGAATTTTTGGAGAAGGAGGGGTTTGTAGACCTGGGTTCATAGGTGCCCTCTGGTCATCTGACCTCAGGGAGACAAACTCTGCTCGTGTCAAATCTGCAATTTGACCGTGCACGTGTAGGCACAGTGCCTGGCTCTGTAGGGTGGGAAAACACTGATCCCTCAAGTGTGGGGCAGTGAGCTGCATCAGTGCAAGAGTTCACCATGGCAAGAAGCCTCAGATAATGGTTTTCAATAACAGAGCACTGAAATATTAAAAAGTAATATGGTCTTTATTTCAGAGTTTTTATTACATTTGCCAAGCTCAGAAAGACACAGTGAAAACCAAAAATGACTGGCTGGTAGAATCCTATTAGACCCATTAATCACCATCAAGTACTAATATCTGTGTACTACCTCCCTGGTGATATTAATTACCACAGCCGTGGGGGTAGAGAGCAATCCAGCCCTGACCCTCCAGTGGTACAGGGTGGCTGTACCGCACTCAGCCCTTCCCTGGCCGGTGCTGGGACTGCCTTAAGCTCTCCTGGACTGCCAAACAAGCTTCAACCACCAGGTATAGCCACTCTTATCACCTCTCTGAACCCACACTTACTTGAGTGGGCTCTGCATTTCCCTCTCCAACCTGAAACTCCCTTCACCTGCTGCTCCTCTACAGTGGCTTTGCTCACACACAATAACTGTAGCAAGGAAAAAACAGACCTTGCAAACACCGGTCTAAAAATATACTCCACTTCGGATAACACCATCAAGATGAGTTCAGCAGAAGCAATGCCTGTGCTGGTGCCCCTCCTCACCTGTGTTTGTGTCTCTGGAGGCAGATCCAGGATGCTGAGCAGCCCCAGGGACTGCCCTACCTCTTGCAGCAGGGACAGGGTCTCCTGCAAGGAGAATCCTAGGGCACTAATTCCTCTGGAGCCCCCCAGGAGATCCACCCAGACACAGCCAGCAGGGCAGGGATCCAGTCCCACCATCGCCAGGCAGCACAGACACAGGGCTATCAGATAGAGTCAGCCAAACAGATCACCACACAAACCCATGGTGATGAGGCAGGTTCAGTGATGAGCTGGGAAATCATTCCATGGGTCAATGTCCAGATCAGGAGTATCAGTGGCCAAGGACAGGCATGGCTGCAGGAGATCAACACTCCTACAGCACTGCTCAGGGAGGGAGGAAGGGCCCCGAGCTGAGCTTAAATGGGCTCCTGGGCCCATGGGTGGTCCAGGTGAGGATGCTCGAGGCCATTACAGCCAATTAGTGCCTTCAAGGCCCTGACAGTCAGCTGTGAGGTCTGACCAGGTTGCTTAAGGCTTGATCCTCTTGGGTCCTGAAACATCCCAGGGAGGAGGTGGCACATCCCCAAAGGATGTGAAAAAACCTTTTATATCCCATGTTTTCCACTCTTGTTTCGTTTGTGTCCATTGTCATTTGCCCTCCTGCCATGCGCTGCTGTGGTAGCCTGGCTCCATCTTCTTGAGATCTTCTCACATGGGCTGGAAAGCTGCTGTCAGGTCCCCCAAAGCCATTTCCTCTCCAGCCTGGCAAGGCCCAGTCCTGCAGTGCCTTCACAGGGCATGGGCTCCAGCTCCTGACCATCTTTGTTGTCGTCTGCTGAAGTTGCTCCTGTTTATATTGGGTGCCCAAAACTGCACAAAATATTCCAGATGTGGTCAAGCAAAAGGAAGATAATCACTTTCCTCAATGTTCATGCTGCCCAGGTATGCTTTTTGTGTAGTAGGGCCATTTTTGGGTCTTTCTCCATCCATCATCCATCCATCCTTGATCCATCCACTTTTACAGTGCAGACCAGAACAGCACATTTTTCAGAGTATGTCCCTACTGTGTGGTCCCACTGAAACCAGCCTGACGGGTTGTGGATCTGTGCGCAGAGGCTGGGGTGCGGACAATTTCTGGTCGGCAAGAGGAGGCTGAAACAACACTTCTCCCACTAGAACTCCCTAAAACTCTTCAAAGTCTTCAGTGCACTCTTACGTAAACATATCAGTGTTTTTATCTGAGATGCTTAGAGGCTGGCTTTAAGTGTTGTAGATGTCAAAACATACAAACAAGCCAAGTATTTCACGTGTCCTGAATGGATTTACACTTTGTTTTGTTTTGGTGGGGTTTTTTTGTTTTTTTTTTTTTTTTTTAGCAACATCCCCAGCCCAGGCAGCTCTTCCCACAGTAGCAACAGACCATCCTGCTCCTGTGCGCTGGCAGAAGCCTGAGGACTTTTTATAAGCCCCCTTTTAGCTGAAGGTCCCTGGGGAATGGAGATGAATGGTCCTGGTGGTGCTCCCACTGTGCTTGCATCCCAGGGCCACATCCTGCTCCCTTGCACCCTGTTGCTGCTGCTCCTGTGGGGGCTTAATGGGGTCCATCTTAACGAGGGGTGTGTGGGACGCCCCCAGGCTGCAGCAGAGCAAGTGACCCTCACCACAGGCAGTGGTGGCCAGCCAAGTGACAGCAGAGTCCTTTACTCTTGAAACCTGTGACTGTAAATGTGGCTTTGTGGCAGCAGTGCCGTTTGCTGTATGTCCTCCCTGCTACTGAAATGTAAAATAAATTTATTTTTTTCTTTTCTTTCAAGCCTCTGCTGGTGGAGGAATCATCAAGGTCATATTTATATTTATTAGATTCATCTTAATGGCTCCCAGGGAGGGCTGCGCTGACACCCAGGACAAATCACAGTGCTGGGGAAGGACAGGGAGAGCTATTCAGGAGAGCAGGCGTTCAGTGTGCTGAACATGCTGCAATTGCTCTGGGAGAGCTTCCTGCTCCCCATGTCACAGGAAGGCAGAGGAGCCTCCATGCTCAACCATGTCTCAATTCAGGACTGCTGGCAATGGAACCTGAAAGGCAGAGTTTCCCACTTTGTCCCAGTTTACTTTTCTCCATGGCACAAATCTCCATGCTAGGAAATCTCATCCACAGTAAAAATTTCAAGGCTGCAAGAAATGTGGCTGCAATCTTGGGATTCAGGCAAGGCAGCATCTCTGAGACACCAGAAGAAGGAGGGGAGCCTCTCTCCAAAGAGACACTGGTTTCTCTTCCAGAGGGGCTCCTGGCTGTGGGCTTTGTGGGACTGCTGGCCATGGATGGGTAGAAGTCAAAATCACTTCTGGAAATGGGGATTAGCAATGAGCATTGTTTAGGGCTGTTGTGGGTTAGAGGAGGGAAGTTGGAATCTGCTGACTTGCTTCTGAGTCTGAAGCTACTGCCATCCAAATCTGCCAAGGGAATGAGCGGTCTAAATCTCTTGTGTCTGCTTTTAGGTGTTTGTTCTGATTTGGCAAATAGGCTTCTGGACCTCTTCAGTTGTATCTTCAGCATCCCATTGAGTTCCTGCAGGGAGGTGGTGGTACAGGGCTGTGCAGCCATCCTGCCATCCTTCTGGGGCATCTACGCCATCATCTTGGCTGCAAGATCACCTTGTGGGAAGGAGGATTTTACAGGACCCTCATAACTGACTGCGATTCCCCTACAAAAACCTAACGATGTATTTAAGATGTAGTGAATCAGTGTTTGAATGTCACAGAGCTTTGGCATAAGGAGGAGACTTAGCACAAGCTCATCAGAAGATCCTTTGCTATTTATAGAGGTGGCAGTGGTCTTCTATGAAGGGAGTAAGACCCTTTCTTTATCAGTGGGAAAGTGAAAGAAGGACTCTTAGTCGTGCTTGCAAGCTGTTCAGCCTCAGATCTTGGGCTAAACCCCAGGATTTTTGGTCTCCAAGGGCTCGTGCTGCCCCTAACACTCTTCTCCTTGACCATGGTGGAGGAGGCACCATGCAGGGTTTGTCACACCACTGCCTGGAGTCAGCTCTATACCAGGGATCTGTGCTCAAAGGATCACACCCCTGGGTCCCTGTTTGACCAGGGGAAGAGGAATGACAGTCAAGCCAATGTACTTTTCAAAGCCTTTTAGGAGCCAAGGGCAGATATACCAGCCAAGAGGTGTCCTATCAAGCCCCAAAGTGCAAATTCTTCTTCAGAGTCCCAGAAAAGTTCAGCTTTCAGTGAATGGTGCAAAATGCAAAGAGAAAAGACAATATTTTCACTTTCTCCTTTCCCTGGGTTCCAGATCCATCATCACAAGCCTTGCTGTAATGGGCCACGACTCATGAGTGAGTTTATCCCTGGGGGCTTTCACTGAGGAAGTGCACCAGCTCCTGGGGTAGCCACAGCACCAGGAACCGGTGAGATTTGGGAAAGGCCTGGGAATGATGTGGGCACCTCCTCATGACTGGGGTAGTGCTGGGGAGCCTGTAGGGGACCTGATGGCAATGTTAGGATGCTGCCATCTCCTGCACAAGGGTGCCCGCAGCAGTTCTTTGCCCTGGAGGGGATCTCATTGGAGCTGGGACACTTGAGATTTCAACTTGCAATAGCTAAAGATCAAAGCCTGCCTGCAAACCTTCTTCCCAGCAGGCAGGGGGGAAAAAGGATGGGCAGACAAAGCGGCAGCAGGTGCGGTGACCTTTGCATCCTGGGTGAAAGGAAGTTGGAAGTAAAATGCCAGCCCCATCAGGCTGCTTTGCATCCAGATCTGCTGCTCACTCCTGCTGCTCTTCAGAGGCGCTGGGAGCCTGTGCTGGCCTTGATCTGCTCCTGCTATTTGTTTCAATTGATTTATTTTTAGATATGTGGAGAGGCAGAAAAGAATAAATAAATAAATAACCTCCCATCCCCACCCCCAACATCTCAGCTCCCAGCGAGCTCCTTGCAGACTGCCAACTCTGCAGGGTGATGGAAATCATCTCCACCCTTCCTCCACCCCCTGCCTCTCCCCAGCAGCGCCCAGCACGCCATCCATCACTCACTGTGCTCAGCCTTGGGAACAGAAGGTCTGTGGGGTCAGCGGACACCCCCCTGCTTCATCTCGTCCTGCTAAAATCAGACACCCTTGTGTTTGGCAGCCGTGCTGGGTGGGGAGCCCTTTTTCATGGAGCTGTGCTGCTCTGCGGACAGTGCTTCAGAAAGCAGCTAGAACGAAGGAACTGTTGGTTGAGATGGAGAGGACAAGGTGAGCAAGGGGCCCTCATGTTCCCTGTCCCTTTTCTTCCAGCCCTGAGAGCTACCTGGCAGCACTGTGGCAGGGTGGAGGGACAGGCAGCTGCTTGTGGTGGTCCCAGGAAGACCTGTGCTGTGTGATTGCACTGCAAGGAGAAGCGTTTGCCTGGGATGACTGGAGAGATGTAACCAAGCCTCGCTGGCAGGAGATATTTTTACTGTAAGCTTGTGAAAGACATGCTGCATCATGACTGGCACCATGTGGGTATCTACTCTGATGCTGGCCAGCAGTCCTGCCTCTGCCTGCAGCGTTACTGGTGCAGCGGCCCCTCTGACAGCTAAAGGGAGGGGTGTAGGTGGAGCCGAGGCACTGGGACTGCACAGTTCCTCTTTGTGGTGGGTTTTCTAGCTCACTCTGCCTGTTCACCACATCTGCTGGTACCCCCGCCTGCCTGACTGCAGCTGTGCGAAGGGGGAGGAGGTAGGCTGGTGTCCCTGCAGCTGGTATAAGCTGTTGGTGTAACCTGGCAGAAGCCACCACAAGGGGAAATGATGCTAGGATTACTGCCATAGCCTGCCTTGTGTTGATGCTGGCTGCAGGGATGTGCTAAAGCTCTCCCAAGGCAGCTGAGCAGTGACATTACTTCTTGAGTGCCTGTGATCCAGCATCTGCTCCTCTTCACATACACCCCAGTCAATGCGCTCTCCCAGTGCAGCTTCCCATGCTGACCTGCTGCAAGAGTCCAGTGGGGTTTAACTGTGTGGGAGACCTGAAGAGGTGGTCTCCCTCCTTGGCTAACTGGAGCAGGAAAAAGGTGCAGGTGCTGTATTTAAAGCAGCCTTACCTTTGGCTGATTCACGGGTTTTCTTGCGAATTGTCCCCACATGATGCATTTAAGACCTATCACACTGCTGGGCAAGACCACGTGTTTCTCCTCCCATGTGCCCAGGAAGGGAGCACCATGTCTCTGGGTCAAATGGAACTGCAGTCTTGGGAATACGCTTTGCTTCATGATCCCAGTATTTATCTTATACTGGCTCCAGCTCCCTCCTCCCCTTTTGCTGCTGGCATGAAGCTGTGTTGCATCTGCCATGAGAGGCTGCTGGCATTGCACTGGGACTCAGGCAGCTCCCTGCAGAGCAGTTGTGTCCTCACAGTACTTAGGAACCTTCCCTCTCTTTGAATCACAGCCACTGTCATTCACCTGCTATTTATCAAGACCTAGCTTGCAGACTAAATGCAAAAAAAAAAAAAAAAAAAAAAAAAAAAATTTACTTGCTGGCCTGTAGGAAAGAAAGGACAGAGTCCTCTGCACCAGCTCGCAGGTAGCTTTCTCTTATCTGCACTGCAGCTCGCTGTTGCATTACTCTCTGCACTCACCCAGAAAATGCCGAGGCAGGAGAGCATTTGCAAAGCTCAGCCAGCCTACCTGGCAAGGTTACTCAGCAAGAATGACCCCGAAAGCAAGAAAGAGCCCAGGATGATCGCTATTAAACAGGGACAAATTAAATGCCCCAGGAGCAGATACCATTCAGCCTCATTGAAGAAACATGCCTGAGAAGATTTCTATATAAAGCAGAGATTTGTGGTGCAATCTCAATTGGCTTTTGGTCCAGAACAGAGCTGCAAGGTGTTGCTTGTGCTAGTAGTGTAATAAATAATAAATGATTCAATACAAGCAGTAATTAGGGCTCATCCTCACTGGGGATGAGGCAGGGGGGTGGTCAGTGCAACCAGCAGCGTGCCTGAGGCTGGGAGGCGAGAGGGGTCAACCTGGGTACCTGCTGGAGAGATTCTGCTTAATCCTTGTGGCTGGACAATGTGTCTGGGACGCAGCCTAGCGCCAGACCTGCTGCTCAGGGACTCTGGCAGCAGTGAGGGGCAGGCAGGACCTGGCTGGGGGGATGCTTCAGGTGGGGATCCCCTGAGCCGAGTCAGTGGGAGTGGTGGCACCCAGACACTGCCTTCCTGGGTGGTTGGGTGGCTGCTTTTGTGAGCAGAAAGAAAAGTTTCTTGGAAGAAAGGAGGCAAGGTTCATAAATCAGGGACTGCAGATCACACGAGTGGCATTTACGGCTCCCCCAGCACCGGTGTTCTGCCAGGGAATGATGCAGAGCCCTTGGCCAGCTCAGCTCTGCGCCTAAAGCATTTTGGCACTTCGTGTCCCCTACCTGCTGCTGCTATTCATCCAAAACCTCAGTTTCTCAATGAGGAATTGCCACCTTGTGCTGTGCCCTCACCTTCTGTCTGGCACAGGGATTTGTGCCCAACACCCCTTCCCACTCACCTGTACCTCCACTTCTGGCAGGGCTGAGCTGATGGAGATGACTCCTGCAGGTGAATCTACACATGATTGCTTTAAACTGAAGCAGAAGAAGCTCTTGAATTTATAAGTCTATAAGCACTTGACAGATCCCTATCTCCCCAAGAGGGCAGAGCTCTAATCACAACACACCACAGGTATTTTTTCAGATTTAATAACTTCATGGAATACCAGTTAACCCCAGGCCACACCTGCAGTGGCTGTATCTTTCCTAGATCTTTGACAGCATTAGACACATTGCAAGCCTTTCCCTCAGCCAATATTTCCCTAACTTATCGTGATATCACCTATGTTCTGCTAAAATAACAGCATTCTTCCCATCACTCAGACTGAGCTGTGTGAGGGAGGCTGTCAGCTCCTCTGGGAATGTCTGGCCACAAAAGAGAAATTAGGGCAAGAGATCTGAGCGAACTCTGTGTATCTCTGCAGATGTCCTGGAGACAGAAATGTTCAATCAGAAAAGTCAGGAGCCTCACGTTTAGGAGACTCTTCTCTCCCAGTTTGATGCAGTTTTGCTGAGCTGGGAAGGGTGGGCATGTTCTCTGAGGACAAAGACCATCCGTGTAGCATGTGCTGAAATTAGTCAGTTTTCTGTGACCTGAATCATCTGACGCAGGAGAAAAGTCTCTCCCCTGTCCTGGTCCCTTAGCATCATCCAGGTATATAAAATACTTCTGCCTGCTAGCACCTTCCATAGCAGCAGTCCTTGAAACAACTGCAGTATCTTGTATGTGCTTTTTCCACCTGGGCGTGTGTGGCTGTGGGGAGGTGTGTGTGCTGTGCACATGCCAGCATTGCCGAGGACCTGGGTTCCCACCGTGGCCCCACCTGTGAGATGCAGGTGCTTGCTGCCTGGGTCGCCTGTCCTGAGCTCCTTTGTAAAAAGACACGCTGTGAAACGGAACTTTTTTGCACAGACCCATCCAGGCTGGAAATGGTAAATTCACTTAAACAATAAACTATGGGGTTTTTTTTTGCAGCAGCAGCAGCGTCTGCTGCATGATACCTCATCCATCCGTGCTGCAGGAACAGCAGGGCAGCTGTTCTGTGCATAACCGAGCTCCTTGGAGAGCAACCAAGACAGGGGAAGGTTTTGATTTCCACTGTGCTGGCACCCTGCTGGAATGGCCTCCTTGGAAAGCTGCCGGGGCTCTTGCTGCAATTAACCTCACCGAGGGCACCCGCAGGCGGGAGATCCCCAGAGAGCCTGAGCACAGCGGCTGAGTCTGCGGGGCAGAGCAGGAGCAGCATCATTAACACGGCGTTTCTCAAGGTCTCAGTGCACAGGGAAGGTGCATCTGCACGCACTGGGGTGCTAACGAGGACACCGGGAACCCTGGCAGTGAGCGCTCATGGCAGACTGAAAGGCAGAATGGGGCTGTAGAAGGGAGCAAGGAGGGCAAAGTGCTTCCAGGCACAAACTCCTGCACTTCTGGGAAGGAAGATTGGGGTCAAATTTGGTGATCTGTTTTCAGTTAAACAGAAAATGAGCAGAAAGGGAGATCTGCCCATGGGGAGCAACCCAGAGCCCGAAGTAGGACCATGGGAAGCGGATATGTCCCTTTGGCGGGGTTTCACATTTGCTGCTTGCACTTACACACTCTGTCCCGGACAGATGATGTATCAGGGAGGCAACATTATCCGTGGTGTTTCCCCTTCTCGCACTCCCCTTATTGCAAACACCAAGATGGTTTGTGGCTTCTCCTGACCCTGCTTTCAGCAGGGACACTGGGATGATGCTGCCTCTCCAGGGTCCTACAGTTCACATCCCCCGTTTCCTTCCCTCCCCTTTTTTTCCTCCGGCTACACACTTTGAGCAGGCAATACTCTGGCAGAGGAGACCAGCTGCATGGATCCCAAAGGGGAGGAGCTGCCTGGTTTTGTTCAGCCCTATGGGCCATGCAAATGATGACAAGCTGCTTGGATCGAGCAAGCCTCCAGTTGTGCTCGGAGGCAGCAGTGGGTTCATAATTAAATTCCCAGGCTTGGCAAACCAGGGGAAGAGAAAGCTGCCTGGAAAGGCCCTGGCTGCACCGTGATGGGAGGCAGTGCATCACTTCAGAGAGAAAGTGGTCCAGCTTCTCACACCACTGCCCTGGGAAGCCTCAGTCTGCAGTAGTATGACTCCTCATCCAAGGCACAAGAAGAGAGAAGGTTTGGGCTGATCAAGCAGAATTTAGGGGCTGGGGTTGTTTGGAAACAGCAGAAGGAAACCACTACATCATCCCAGAGCCCTTCACATGGCCTGCAGCAAAGCACCGTGTTGAGGTTACTGGAATTCTGCACTTTATGGGGCCCTTTACAATGAAAAAAAGAGCAGATATTATTTTAAAGAAAATGTTGCCCTACAGCCAGGAAATCCTGAAGTATCATAAGAGAAGATCAAATGAAAACCCTTAAAGAAATGTCAACAAAAGATGTCCTGACCCTTTTGAAAAGGTTCCACTCATGTTTTGGACTAAAGTTGCTTTGCCAGGTATGACCTCAGTTTGCAGTTACTGAGGTCTCTCTCCCCTCCCTTTCTTTTTGGGTAAAGTTCCCAGCAGCCAGAGATGTCGCCACCCCTGAGGACCAGCAAAGCCAGCTGGGGAGTCAGCTGTGTTCCCGCCTCCTGGTCCTGGGGTAGGTACACAACCCAGCTTCTGGCCACCTTCACCAGGCTCCCAACTCCAGATGGACCTGGCAGGGCTTAGGGAGGACTTTCAGCTCAGCCCTTACTCCTACTACTCCAAAACATTTTGTCAACTCTCCCCAGGGTTTTTTTCCTTATGTTGTTGCCTCCAGCTCAGAAAAGATCCCTCCTTTGACAGATGAAGCAAGTGGAGAATCGATGCTGCAACTCAAACATTGTTTGCTTCACAACAGCAGGGGAAATTCAGATTGCTCTAGGAAGATGTTATTTTGTTCTCCAAACCATTTCTGGTTCTGCTTTTGTCTGTGGAAATCACTTAACACACCTTGAAACATAGCAATGAATGTTGCTGCTGATGGCCATCCCTTCCTGACTGCCCCTTGAGGCTGAGCTGGTTTTGTTCACTCTAGGGCAGGGCAGAGCTGTGCTGCCTTTCTGGGGACTGGTTCCTGAAAGGATATCCCAACAGGATACATGCCCAAAGGATAGCCCATATCCCAACAGGGTATGTTCCCAAAAGTCAGTGTGGCTGAGGATGCCCTGTCTGGAGGGAAGCCAGGAGAGAAGATATTAGTGCTGTCACGATCAAGGACCCCAGAGCTCGGGGCAGACCTTGGATGATTTTACTTAGAAGTAGAGGTGCAGACTATGAGCCCACCCTCCATGGTGGGTCCTTCCCACCCTGAACTCCATCCTGCAAGACTATTTCTCTTGTGCCTTTCCCATCTCTGGTCACAGGTCCTCCTGCTTCTGGCAGAGTTTCTTGTTCCCTGGAGTTCCCAATTTATCAGAGCCTGTTGTAAAGAGGTGGCTAGAGCAGAGAGAGACCAAAAAGAGCAGTCAGACAGAAATAACCTCACAGAATAGAGCATCACATCTCCTACAGAGCAGAAAGCACATGGGTGAGAGCTGGTGGGTGACAACACCCACACACTGGTGCAGGGCCAAGCCCCAAAGTAGGGTAAAACTCTCAGAATAACTCAATTCCAAGATCACTCAGCAATCCGTTAACCCTCCCTAACACTGACCTGCCATTAACCTGCACCTCCAGGATGCTGCACCTGCGCCCACAGCAAAAATGCAATTTCCTGAGCCCTGGACACCCAGGGACTTGTTCCCATCTGAGAAGGTTGGAGGGGAAGAACATCATGTCATGCCATTTTGGCCAGGTCCACCAGCAACTTCCCCAGACTACTTGGCACTTCCCCTTGAACCACATTGAATTGTAAATCTGTGAGTTTTCAGGGGACAAGAAACACTGATAGACCCCAGAGAGATGTCTCCTTGCAGAGAATCAAAACAAGCACCACCAAATCAACATTTTGGGAACCATTAGCTGATTCTGCGCTTGGAGCATGTCAACGGCAGATAACTTGCATCTGCTTCTGAAAGCCAGAGATTAGTCTAATTTAGTATGAGCTTAGATATCAGCAACAAAATCTAATTACAAGGATGTGTTGGGCTCATTGATCACTTTAAATGGCAATGCAAAAAGTTTGGCCCATTGCATAAGAACTGCAGCGTGTTTCCACTCTGCACTGTTGTATCAGGGGAAGTTGCTTCCCCAATTAGTTCATATTGATGGGAGTGCGGTGCTATGCTGATGACAGCGCATAGCTTGGGTTATATTAAAAATATAATTTGTGCTTACTGGAAATAACAAAAGGCAATTCCAGAAATACTTGGTGGAAATGCACTAGATTCCAAGGGTTTTTCACAGTAAAAGGGATGTCTGCACCAGCCAGACCCCAGCACTTCCAGTGTCTCAGGCTAAGGGGAGATGTGAAACAAGGATGTCACAGCCCTCTGTGCCCTTCTTCCCAGTGCTCCCTCTGTCAGACAAAGTACCAGGCAGATCTTCTGCCATCAGCAATCATCCAGTTTCTGTGCCCTGTATGGCAGGTGACGAAGCCACAGACTGGCAGTAACACACTCACAGCTTTCCTCGTGATGGTTTAATGCTTCTCCAGACTTGGCAGTGAAAATGGGAGGAGGAACGCAACTGAATGGAGGCTGTCTGGATCTCAGAGCAGGGCCAGGCTTGGGTGAAACATCTTATTTATTGCCTGCATCTGCTCTAGCTCTGCAATCATGTCCAAGGTGCTTGGTGGGGGTTGCATGGACAGACTGTAGCTCATCCTCAGCAGCTGTGGGCTGGAGATCAAGCCAAAGCCTCTGAGGTCTGTGGTCAGCTCTTGGACCTGTTCAGCCTGTGACCTTGGGCAAACACCAAATAGCCCAATGTGCCTTAATGCAAAGGATTGCTAGCTCAGGGGGACAATATTGTTTTCTTTCACTTTTTGTGTGCTCAGACATCCCCCAATAGCCCCTTCCTTCCCACAGGCTCAGCATACCCTGTGTCACCTCCTGGTTGGGGCTACCAAATTAGGGAACAAGGAAGCAAGGCACAAGGTTGTACAGCTCCTGATGTCAGGACAGACAGCTGCTGTGGGTGCTGAGAAGGGAGGAGGACAGGGGAAACAGGGCTGGATGGTCTGTTACCCTGTTGCCTACTGCTCTGTAGAAACTCAAAGCTTTGAGCCTTGACCAGGGGTTGCCTCAGCTGTTTGCTCATACCTATGTTACAGACTATGGTGTGTCATCTCCAGGAGAAGGGTGCACCCAGAGGAAGGGGTCCTAGACTTTGGCCATGGGTCTGTGTCTCTTTCTATGGGCACACAGACCTCCTCAGGACAAGGGGAAGGTCTGCACAGCCTCTTGGCAAGGACTGGGCACATGGGTCTGGATAGAAGTTGTCCTGATTTCCCTTCCTCCTTTCCACTGCTGATGTATCCCCTGCAGAGAGGTAGGAAGGGAAGGAAGAACACCTGAAGAGATCTCATGGGACTGAGCCCAGCATCCCCATAGCTGCACCCAGAGAGCGCCTTGCACTCCACTATACCCAGCACTGACTCCTGTAGGGTCTTTGTCCAAATCAGCAGACTCAACCCTTAAGGTCTCCCATCACAGCAGCACCCATGGGGAGAAAGCACTCAAAATACCATCGTTTGCCAAACTCCTCCCTGCTCCCCTACACACAGTGCCTAAGCAAGTCTAAAATCAGCTTGCCCTGCTGCAGTGTTGTCATACTAGACCTATAAGCAGTCCCCTGCTTGCTTCTCAAATATTATTATATCCTGTTAACTCTCTCCAGGATAGGTAGTCCCCAGCCAAGGGCATCAGGCACCTCTGTGGGGATGGACCAAGCCATTTCCTATAGAAACTCAGCCCTTTAACATATGCAAATCTACTCAGATTCAAAGTTTACATCCTCCAAAAAGAGATACTCACAGCCAGAGGATAAAAAACCCCAACGTGTCAACATTTACATAACAGAAATTGTTGGAGGGGGCTTTTTCTCCCCTGAGTCAGGAAGGTTTTACTACTCTGTGCATTGCCTCTGCACAAGGAACAGTCCACACACACAAACTCATTGTTTCAGAGTTCCCACCGTCTTGCTTTGAGTGCATTATTTTCCAAGGGACACACTGTCACCCTACAAAAAGAAGGGAAGCAGACAGGAAAACATTTTAAAAGATAAAGCTTAGTCAGCCAGGGATCCTCTTGATACTGAGTTAAGATGCATTTTGGATGAGGAGTTGTTTTATAGATGGGCTGGTGTCGGTTCAAGACAAGAGTCCTGTAGTGTGAGGGAGACAATGAGGACAGAGCAGTGCAGTAATGGGTTTTAGTGTGTATCACCACAGCTCCCGCAATGTCCAATGAAGCAAATGATTGCATCTGCAGCATCAATCATTTAGTGTCATTAGACAAGAAGCTCTGTCATGAGATGAGCATCTCCTGCTTGGAAAATAAGTGTCTCAGTTTTGCCTTGGTGATGATGCATCAGTGGGGGACCCATTATCCTGTGACAGTGGTTTCTAGCTGGCACCACTCCTGCCTAGAGAAAACCAGAAACACAAGAACCCTCTTTGCTACCGAGATGCACTTGTGCAGTAGATATTTAATCTTTGATTCTGAGATGTACAGGATTCCACGTGGCCCTACAGCTTATGACCAAACTGCAGGAAAAGCCGAATGTCTCTAGTGTTCCAAGTTTGCTCACAAGGTTCTTGCAGTGAGCTGGTGTCTGGACAAAGTGGATCACAGGGAGACAAATCTAAGTCTATAATGGATGTGAGGGGATGGACAACAGCAGAACACCCCTGATGGCACCTGACATTCACCAGGCTTATCTCTGAGCAGGATGATTAAACTCCCTGTATTTATGAACAGCAAGTGATACACAGTTCCTTTATTCACTAACATTTGTTTGAGTCCCCAGAAAGAAACTTTTCTAGTTACAACAGTTGCCAAATAAGGTTAGTAATTATTCACAGCCCTGAAATACATATCCCTGATCAAGCAGTCACCATCCATAAAGGCATGGTCAAAGGCATGAGCTATTATCCGAACATTTGCTCTCCTCGGGAAGCTCATTTCCATACAGAACTGCACCTTATGCAATATATCTCCAGGAGCGATCACTTAATGCCTCAGCTCCAGGGAACGGGACCAAAAAAGCGAGTGAAAACTATTGATCTGGTTTTAAGTAGAGCTGTATCTATTAATCTGGGAACACTAATCACTGGGGGCTTGACAAGAACATGAGGTTTCCAGTGCTGCATTAACACTCTCCATCCTCTTGGGCAAAGCCTGAGGAAGACAGAGTTGCTTTCAAGGCTTGGCCTAATGGCATGCAGAGAGTGGTCTCCAAGGCATCGATGGGCAGAAAAGCCTTGTAAGAGGTACCTCTACCTTCTCACACACAAACACACATTATTCCTGGTGTCTGACAACTTTGACCAGAAAGACAACAGGAAAGAGATGTTCGTGGGAAGCCTTAAGGAAAATCTTCATCTTAGCGTTATCCCTATGAGCCTAGACTACATGTGGCATTATGAAGGTGGGAGCACAGTGTCTTAGTCTACTCAGGGGGATTGATCCCTTCATTGTTTTCATCTTTCCATAAACCAAAAATGACATAACAAAGCTCAAGACCAACCAAGCTGGGGAGTTTCACAGAGATAAAAAAAGCAGTAAAGAAACTCCTTGAATTTATTCCTCTTTTTTTTTTTTAGATAGGATGGGGAGTAAAACTCTTAGCAAGTAGGTACAAATGAGAACACAGACTCAAATCTGAATCTAAGTAAACTGGGAGGAGAAGGAGGACCCTTTCTGCTGCCAGAAAGGAAGAAGGAAGCAGAGTTTACTGGAGGGCGTTTTTAACTGCTCGGAGACTCAGCTGTAATTTTCCAAGCCAGCACTGCTGCCCCCAGTCACAGTGGTGCCTGCATTGCTTGATTACAGAAGCACAGGTGAAATTTTGATGCTTATTTTTACCCATTTTCCTCAGCTTCCTAGGGGACAGCTGCCTGAGCAGGGCAGTCGAGGGTGGGGAGAGTCACTTCTCTAAGTGAAAAGAAAATCAAAACCAACTGAAGCAGAAATAGAAGAGACTAAACACAAGCTACTGAGTGATCCTCCAAGAAAAACTCCTAGACATTATTCCCTGTTACTCTTACCCCTGGCAGAAACTCATCTTGCAGATCCGTGACTTGTCACCACTCTTCCACCTCTGCTACCAGCCTGGGTCACAACCTTCCTCTCTTATCCCCAACTTCAGGTTCCCAGTCTTCCCTCACGAAAGCCTCATAAGCATAAAAACGTCTTGGTCAGCTTTTTATTTTATATATGAGTGAAGTCTTTGGAAGAAAGGAGAAGGCATTTCAGTATGTTGTATAAGCTGAGGTCACTCAGTGACTCTTTCCAGCTCACCCCAGTGCTGTGGTCATCTGCCCCTCCAGTAGCCAAGAAAAAGCTTGGACTGGGCTGGAGCAAGCTGCCTGAACATCTGACCATAGGAGAGCTGCTCCTCAGCAACTCTTACTCAGGCAATCTCCAGCAAGATGTCACAAACTGTAAACAAGCTGTTTGTAAAGAGGCTGTCTCAGACAACTCGCGTGGGACACCCTGTGAGGGAGAAGCAGAGCAAGCTCTGCAGAGGTGGGGTGGTGGGCTGTTTCTTTCCCCTGTTGTTGCCCAGAGACAGAGCTTGCCTAACTGCGCAGGTACAAGCCAGAGAAAATGAGAACCTTCTGGAACAACCTATTGCACATGCATAAGACAGACTATATGAAGGCAACACCCCACACGTGCCTTTGTCGAGCCACCACCTACAGACCAAGCTGGCTAGTCTGTAACAACGCAGGATCCAGGGGTGGTGATTCTCCTTTTCCTCCTCTTTTGTCTTTTTGCTCGCTTTCTTACATATATTCATGTTATAAGTTTCTTATAAATTGATCATTGACCAGTTGTTAGGAAAATAGCCCCATTGCCAAAGTGCCTTTATTCATTCCCCAGACAGATATTATGGATAGTTGATTGTTGCCAGATTGTCTCCATTCGTTCACTGAAGTCATCAGTTAATAAAGTCACCACCACAATCATTCCTCTGAATTGTTGTCGTGACTCGGCCTGCCCTGTGGCTCTGCTGAGCAGAGACTGGCTCTTCCATCGGCACGTAGGTTTTGGGGAGAATTCAAAAGATTCACCCCCCTCGTAACCCACTGCATGGGACAAGACACAAGGGGGTCAGGGTGGAGCTGCACAAGGCACATCTCCAGATGGATTCATCACACTTGGGTTGTCCATCACAGCTTGTGCCCCCATCTTTCATTCATGTCAGGCATGGCCTGCCACTGCTCTGTCACCTCTCCTGGGTCAGGCTATCACAAATAAAACTGAAAAAAACCTTTTCAGTTTTATTTCAGCACTCAGAGAAATCTGTCCTGGCAGCTCCTCTCTTCCCAGTTTGTAGTTCCTCTTAACTCCATCTGGGTCTTTGCCAAGCATTCATGGCAGGGGGAGCAGCCTGTCTCCCAAAGCTAACACTGGAGACCTCAACTTCTACTGCTGCAGCAAGCAATATTGAGCAAGATATGGTGGGCACTGCCAAGCTGGGCTCTCCCTGCTTTGGCTTCCTCATCTGTTGGGGCCTCAAATGCCGCAAGTTCTGGGGCTGTCCTGTTGGCTTATATCACCAAAGATTTTTATTAGGTGTAACCGGACCTCACCAACAGCCTTTCCTCCAGGAGCTGTAACCTGCTGAAAATGGTGGTCAGTAGAAGAGACCCTAGAATGAATCCTCAAGGATTGCTGATGGCAATACTGAGTCTTCAGACCAGTTCTCATGTTCTCCAGGCTGACAACACCAATCTGCTGGCCCAGGCTGGGCCACTGGCACTTCTAATGGTGCTTTTGCAAATACCAAGTTAAATCTTTGCCACATATGCTCACGTTCTGGAAAACCAAATCACTGGCTATCAGTTACAAAAGTTCAATGATTTTTTTCAGCTCTATTTTGTATGGTGAAAGGTACTAGTGGGGACACCACAGTCCCACCCACAACTAGAGCTGTTGGTGGGAGCAGATGCCTCTTCTGCAGTCTCCCAAAGGCCCTCTATCTTCATCCTCTGTCCAAGGGCTTTTGGAAGGGATGGATTGCTCTGCACTGACATTAAACAATTGTGATTGGAGGCTCTAGGTGACTGGATGTGTGGTTTCTTTGAAGCAAGAGAAACCAACACCTCATCCCAAGGGTCTCATTCACTTTTTTCTCCACATTTGTACAGCTTTCTGGTTTCTCTTTAAATCTTGAGGCCCAACAAGCTGTATCTACTATTTCTTTGACATATCCAGGTACACCAGCCACATCCCAGTTGTTGTCATCCCATCTCAGATTCTTCCCCAGCCCCCTGGGTGGTCAGGAATTGGGTGGGGACTTCCAGTGGTTTTGACAATTTCATTCCACAGACTGTCTTGATTTGTAGCTACATTCTGCAGAAGGGACAATCATTTAATGCAGTGATGAGCAGCAACTTATCACCCAACTCTTCCTCTAGAGCAGAAGAAAAATTAAAGCTCCTGCAGATCTGGTCCTGGGTTACAGCTGCTTGGCACAAGCTCCTTCAATGGACTGTGAAACAAATTAGCACTCAAGAACTTGCTTGCAGAGGATCATATGCACAGGAGTCCTCTCCAGCCTGCCTTTCCCTCCCTCATTAACCCTCATCCTAACAGTGATTTTTCCAAAGCATCTTCAACTCTGGGCCCTGAGCCAGTCAGATCACCAATAATTATATTCACTCAGCATATACATTCACCAGCTTCCACTCAAAATGAGTGAAATTTAGAATCCAGACCCCAGACATGCACATTTTTAACCTGCACATCCCTGGAGTACCAAGAGCATTATATCACAGAACATCTGCTTTTGCAGACACAGCAAGACAGACATATTAAAATTACATATATTTTTAAAAAGGCCTTTTGGTTTTGTACATTGGTCCTGCAGCTGAGGAAATGGAGTGTAGCCTTTGACTCCCAGGACACATGGCCTGAAAGCACAAACAGGGATGCCAGCAGCAAGGTGGAGGCTCTGTACAGGCAGGGCGCTCCCTTGCCTGAGCTGTGCCTCACTGCCAGAGATAAAAA